TGAAACTGCCCAGACAAGGGCAAGGCATGCTCGTTCTGTTATAGAGTAGTTACGCTCCGACTTTGAAAGGAGACGACTTGTGTATGCAATTACACGATCAGAGAATGCCCCGCTGAGTTTGGGCCAAAACTGCGCCGATACCGTGACCGCTAGTGTCCGTCCGCATTTCTGTAGGAGCATTTGGGTCGAAATGTGCAAGTATCGGTGGTGTCGTTAGAGCGGTGATTAGTCGAGAGAAAGCGTTAGCTTGAAGACGGACCCCAACAAAACGGGACGTCGTGTTTGAGAAGGTCTGTGAGTGGGCGTGCGAGTGCCGCAAATTCTTTTACGAAACGGCGAAAGTAAGAGCATAGGCCCACTGAAAACTGCGAAGATCATGGATAGAGCGCGGAACGGGAAAGTTTGTTACTGCGCGTACTTTAGCCGAGTCTGGTCGTACACCGGAAAGCGTCAACAAGGTGGCCCAACACAGTAATTTGACGAAGACTGAAGCGGCACTTCGAGGAATTCAGCTGGAGGCCGGCTTGTCGGAATGTTGATAGAATTGTCGAAAGGCGTTCAAGGTGTGTGGCGAAGGTGGGCGAGAAGATAATCACGTCATCTAAGTAACACAAGCACTCTAAGAAAACGAGGGAGTAAAAAGGGTGTCTTTTTGTCCCACAACAATAATTGTCATCTATATTGCGTTCCATCCTTGCGCTATCGCCCCGTGCCCGGTACATTCCGGTCACGATCGACATGCCCATTATCAGGGTTACATTGAATTCTCGATAGGAAAGTGTTCGAATCCCGGCTGCGGCGGCTGCATTTCCGATGGAGGCGGAAATGTTGTAGGCCCGTGTGCTCAGATTTGGGTGCACGTTAAAGAACCCCAGGTGGTCTAAATTTCCGGAGCCCTCCACTACGGCGTCTCTCATAATCATACAGTGGTTTTGGGACGTTAAATCTCACATATCAATCGATAGGAAAGTGGCCAGCGCCGAGTTTTAAAGAAAGGAAGCACACGCAAGCCTGATGACGACTATTGTTGTGGGACAAAACGACACCCTTTTTACTCGATATTTTTTTAGAGTGAGCAAGTCGCCCATTTAAATTCTTGAAGCAGCGTGTCCATCATTCTCTCGAAGGTTGCTGGGGTGTTGCAGAGACCAAACGGCATGGCCTTGAATTAGTAAAGGCCGTCGGGGGTAACGAATGCAGTTTTCTCACGATCCATTTCGTCTACAGCAATTTGTCAGTAGCCAGATCGGAGGTCTAGAGATGAAAAAAAGGTGGCGCCATGAAGACAGTCTAGTGCGTCGTCAATACGTGGAAGAGGATACACGTCTTTCTTGGTTATTTTGTTGAGGTCCTGATAATCAATACAGAAACGCCAGGAGCCGTCTTTCTTCTTTACCAAGACCACTGGGGAGGCCAAGGGCTTGACGATGGTTCGATGATGTATATTTAATAGCACGTTGTCCACTTCCTTCTGAATCACTGCTCGTTCTGATGCGAGCACGCGGTAAGGCTGACGGTGGATGGGCGCAGAGTCACCAGTGTTGATGCGGCTGCTTGACAATATTAGTTTGGCCCAGGGGACGATCACAGGTATAAAAAATGTGCCGTACGAAGCCAAAACGCGGCAGACAGCGTCGGCCTGATCAGGCGAAAGGTCTGGTCTAATCATATTTCGAAAGATGGCCTCGGCAGAACCGGGTAACCGTGAGACTTCGTCTTGGTCCACAACAGTTACAGCGACAACGTTTATGTCATCATCTCTTATGGCAGCGAGTTGAGCAATCGACACTGGTAGGGCAACCCTTGAGGAATGAGGCTAAAATTTAGGAGCGGGAAAAACACACAGTTGTCCACTATGATGCCGGTGGTATGCGGCACTGTAACACTGCGCATCAGTTGTGTGTCTGTGATCGGTGTAACGATGTAGTCTCTCTCGAGAACTGGAGGGGTCGATGACAGACAGACGTATGTCACAGCTTGAGGCAGCAAGCGAACAAAATTGGTTGGATCCAAGCGGCTGAAGGGCTTTTCACAGGCATCACAGAGCAGGGGAAGGTCGAGGATGAGCGCACCAGAAGAACAGTTAATTAAAACCGAGTGTGGCGAGAGGAAATCAAGGTCCTAGTATGAGGTCATGGGGGCAACCATCTAGAACGGCAAAAAGGACTACGGTGTGACGACCAGCAATGTTGACACGAGCAGTGCACATTCCAACGACTTCTACAGCGCCGCCATCGGCAACACGTATGGCTTGAGTCGTAGAGGGCTTCATGATCTTCTGCAAACGGTGGCGTAGATGTGCGCTCATAATAGATAGGTGGGCACCTGTGTCAACAAGGGCAGTAACAGGAACATTGTCGACTTTTACTTCAATGAGACTGTGGTGTGTGGGCAGCGTCAGTAGAGAGTTTCCGGGCGTCATTGGTATTGCAGCTTCACCTCCATAAGCTGCTATAAGCTGCAATATCTAGTTTTCCTTCTGCGATCGTCCAGAGAAGCTCGGCGAGGAAAAGCGCCGAGGCGACGGAGAGCGGGATTGGCGGCGTCCGGAAGAAGGGGCGTCAGTGGGGAGATGCTCGTGAGAAGGCGGCGAGTAAAAGTTGGACGGTGCAGCAGCTGGACGTTCAGAAGTGGTAGGGCGCATATAAGTAGGGTAGCTATGACGTGGTGGGTTGGACCAGCGGCGACGGCAATAACGAGAAATATGTCCAGGTTGGTGACAGGAAAAGCAGATTGGCTGGTCGTCAGGGGTTCGCCATTGCGTAGGGTTTCGGAAGGCTTCACACGATGAAGTTGCGGCCGTGTTGGGCAGTCGTGTGAATCTCTGCGTGATACGGTGGCTCTTGGCGTGTTCCAACAACGCCCCCTAGACTACTAAAGGCTGCCGCGCTCCTCCGTGACGTCACCACACTCAGCCCGTACGCGGCGCTTCTTGATTACGGTCGCTTTACCTATAAACGCAGCTTTTTCTTTAATTCACTTTAATTAAGTAAATGCGATGATCAAGAGTCGAATGCAAGGCTGGGTCATATCTTGGGGCATTCCACTATAGAGGTGCCTTTTGTCTCGACCGCATATGTACAGTCGCACATATAGCTGTAGCGCGGCCTCGTATTTTTCGCTGCCTTTTTGTTATCTGTTTGCGGGACATGACAGCTCGTGCTTGTCACCGAATGCTACGCAAGACGCGCTTTTATTATGAACAAAACTGAAAGCTTTTTTTGTTGTTTTGTAGTTGGGTTTACAGGTTGGAATATCTTATGAGTTGTAATATCTCGTCACCTTGGTCATTGGAATTTGCCAAACATAATTCTTGCAGCATGGAGAACTCTGTTATCACTGTTCTTTAAATCTGTGCACTATATATCCACATTTCCAAGCAGTTCGGAGAGTGATACCAAACGTGCACTAGTTTCTGAGCAAAAAATAAATTTTATTGCGGGAGTGAATATACATGCACATACACACACAAACACATACACACAGAAATGTAAACACGTGATCATTTCAATGTAACTAACTTTCTTTTTGTTCCATTCACTTTCATTTTGCTCAGCGCTTCATTTCTCAGAGAAGCGTAGTTTTTGAGCAGGATGTTCAAGGCTGGCAGCAAAACATTTTTCATTACTGAATCTGGAGTGTGGCCAGCTGCACAAGCATCAAATTCTTCGTTGTCATTCAACAAATACATAAGAACACTAAGTAGAGTCAATCGATGATTACTTTCGGCATGAAACAGAAGCTAATGTTCTTTACTAGTGACACTGTCGAAAACAACCTTTACGCCGAGGACTGCATGAATTACAGCTGACTGTGGGAACTTCAATCCACCTCAACGGATGCTGTCAATCAGCACATATTCACTTTCTTCTAGCTCTCGTTCCTTCACTGCCAGTATGTCATGGCAGTCATCATATGGTTGTCGTTTAAGAGCTGCGTGTGCACAGTCGCCGGCGATGTAGACCAAAGCAGCCATGTCCTGTTGTGGCTTGTTTAATTCAGCATTGGTCAAGCGTATTTCGTACTTCCTGATTGTCTCCTCAGCATTATGCTCATTTTCATTCTGACTGGGTGATTCAGGCATGTCAGCCAAAATCAGTGTGTTTTGTAGGCGGATCTTAGCCTCAGCCTCTAACATTTGTGTTATCAACACGTTATATTGCGAACCACATAGTCGCCTGTACCTCCAAAACCGATCCTCAAGCGAGTCAGTTTGGAATTTACCGAGAAGCACGAATCTAAAATTAGGTTCCTTCAAGCAGTACCTCGACACCTCGATCAGGGCATACGTAGTTAGCCGTAAAGCTGTTTGGGTCTCTTTGGTGAGAGCTCCTGTTTGCACGTTTCTGTCTTTCCAGGAATCAAGCCAGCCTACAAACTTGTCCAGATATTGCAGCTGCTCGCAGCTGATATTGCGCACTGGCTCTTGCCACACATCTTTTAGACTGCAGCCTTTATGAGGAGTCTTCACATTCACGATGTTCCACCAATTTACAATTAAATCAATGAAATTTGCTGTACCATCAGCAAAGACCAAATGCAAACTTTCATCTTGAATTCTCGAAGCCGATGACACGAAGGTGTTAATTATCTTAAGAGCGAGCTTAACATTTGGTCGCTCTAGGTTACTTGGGTTCAGAGCCTTGTAAAATAGCCCATAAGCAATTTTCACAACACTATTTTCTTCAGCTTCATGCAGTTTTTCTTAATGTTGTGAACGATGCACCTTCCAGCTTTTGTTCTCCTCATCATAACAATCAAAATGTAGATAATATGGGCACTTGTCAGAATTTTTCTGGTTAATCCAATTATTTCGAAGGCATTTTAGGAAATGCAGTGTGCAAACAATGTGAAATAAAGATTTCTGAGGATCCGCTGGATGAGGATACACTATTTCTAAATGTTGCTTTCTGCGAACAGTGACATGACCTTTCTGTTAATTAAGTTATTGTCTGTTATTACTGCCACTACGTGAAGGCCACAATTTTCAAGAATAATTATTACTTCTCAACAATAACTATTACTTCTCTTAGCACGTTATGTAGTTCTTCAGTTGTAATTTTAGACACTGGTAATATGTGTGCTACATCTTTAAATGCTGACAGTAAACTCTGAAACATAAAAACGTGTGCTGTTTTCGCTGGTTCAGTGCTGTTAACAGAAGCTCCTGTTAACCTGCCTGCCTTGTAGTAAAAAAATTGCTGCAAGTGTATTTCATCAAGCATCACCGTGACATGTCTTTCATGCAACTTCAGTAGGCTGGCCCTTCTTTTCATGTTCCGTAAGAGCCCTTCTTGATTTTGTTCCTTCAAAGGACTCATATCATGAGCGACACATACACGTTTAATTGTCGAATGGTGAGGCAATACGATGTTACCACTGCTTCGCAAAAAGTTGTAACCTTGGGGAGAAATAGTGTAAAACACAGTTGAAGGAATTAACAGTTCACCTTTTGCTTCGGCACATCAGGAGCTGGCACTGTTCCCTGAGAAACATTTTTGCTTCTACTCTTTCATCCTCCAGAAGGCCTTGCTTAGAAATATCCTCGAGGAGGGAAACCACAAGCTTTAACACTACATTCACTTTTTCATCTTTTCCAAGCTCTCTTCTACGACAGTACTCTTGTACGCGGTCCAGAAGTTGCCCCAGCGCACGCATGCCGTGAACTGCTTCTGGAATGCCAAGCCGTTCGTCTGACGTAAGGCGAGCACCTCCCACAGAGACGCGCACAGACATATCCGATGATATGACTATAGACGAAATAAGATTCGGAGCTTCTATTGTTGCCTCGATGTGCGCAAAGATGACATGGCCGTCGGTGTTCACAACTGACCAATACTTATTTTCTTGTAGCAGGTGAAGGCGAGATGTCATCTAGGCATGTTATCTTGTTTTCTTCTAACGCCTTGTGCGCCAGCACGGACTCCTCCATAGATTTCTGAAGTTGCTCATCTTCTCTTCGTTTTTTCTTCATTACTGGTTCTTCTCTCGATCGGTGAGTGTCCGATTGGTAGTCAGGGCTGTCCGGAAAAATGTAGGTACAGCATCATGCGTGAGTCGCGTCAATTTCATCTTGGCTTCAATGATGCGACCATCGCAATCTGTATAGTTTGTCGTTGTGCGGAGATATTTCTCTTTGAAGTGACATTCGCATACCTGCACAAAAGACATAAATCAAAATCAGTTTGTTTCCACGTGAATTGTGCCTCTGTGCACATGTAACAAAACTAGGACAGTTCAGGCGTCGCTATGAAAAATCGCGGCGTCTTATTCTATACCTGGAAGGGTGCAGCAACACAATTCGTTGTAACAAAATTGCGCTGATGCGTGCAACCAAGCAAAATGATGCCACAACTCCGGTCTGATATAGGCTGTAGCGCCTTAATGCGCCGCTCGTCAAGGAAGAAGAAGTTGGCATTTGGGCCGCGCGGCGGGTGCAGCGCGATAATAAAAAAAATCAGTTTGAAAACTGAACGCTGTCAGGGCTGTATCTTTCCCGTGTTAGCTCCGACAGTTAATGGTGACCCGATAAAGAACACACAGCCCCGATCATCCCGCATGGATCCCGTCGGCTCTGGAACCAATCCTACCGGTCCTGACGCCCAAAAAGACGCCAGACCTAGCGGTGCTGCAGTCACTGCGATTCAACATGTCAAGCTGCCACCATTTTGGCCCAACAGCCCCAGCACATGGTTTCTGCAGGTCGAGGCGCACTTCCGTCTACGGCAAATCACCAGCCAACAGACCAGGCACTGGCATCTGGTATCCTGCTTACCTCCGGACGTAGCCGACGACTTAGCTGATATTTTAGCGTCACCGCACCCGAGCCATCCCTACGACACGTTGAAGGCAGCTATCATTTCCCGCAAGTCTGAGTCCGAACACAGCAGACTCCAACAGCTCATCACGGCTACAGAGCTTGGTGACCGTCGCCAATCACAGCTCCTGCGACGCATGCGCCAGCTCCTTGGCGGCCCCTCCGCCCCTCAAGAGGAGAAGCTGTTACGTGAGTTGTTCCTCCAGCGCTTACCGCAGAGCATGGTCCCGGTCCTCGTAGCTGCAGGAGATCTCCCAGTAGACACACTCGCTGAAATGGCTGACCTAGTGGCGGACTACTCGCGGGCACATAGCCTCAACGCCGTTACCACACCGCCACCCGGTGTGGATCTCTGCCGTGAAACAGTGGCAGGGTTTCAATCAGGTCATGTCCTAGAACCACAGGAGAGGCCTGGACGCCGTCCACAGGTGGTCTGAAAGGTGGCTGAAGCGGCGGGTGGGACCCCATCGCTAAGGAAGCGTGAACGACGTTCCTTGATGAAGAAGCCTGCACTGCCGATGAACCACGAAGACACGTACCGGTGGCTTCCCGCAGAGGGTTCACTTGTCGGCTTGCGCTGACGGCAGAATCTATAGCCAAGGACGCGTGGACGGCATCTTTTGTGAAATGGTACCGGTAACGTGTACTGCAGCCGCCAAGGGTGCCTTGATGCCGTCCCCGAATGGTGATGGCAGTGGCGGCAGGTGAACAGCTGCCAAAGAGGCCTTGACACCGTCCTCAAGCGGCGCTTATCGCAGCTGTCCTAGACGACGAAGCCGGGACGTAAGCCTACTTCTTCGTCGGCTGCGCCATTGTAACGGAGAGAAAAGAGACAACGCCCGATCCTGGCCCAGCTGTTCTTCTGTACTTCGTTCTTCTCTTCTTGCTCTAGCTATCCGCGCGCCGAAGCGCCAGCGTCTTTATATATATATATATATATATATATATATATATATATATATATATATATATATATATATTAGTGGGAAATTTGCAAGGCAATGACCAGTGGGACCATCTCTGAGTGCGTAGCACGAGCGTGTGCATGAGCTGTGGACGCTGGACTGCTCGAGCACTTGTGTCCGTGCCGGCTGTGTCTGCCTACTAATAAACTTTCTTGCAAAGTGGTGGAAGTGTGCTGGGTACGCAAATCTGGAACTTCGAAGCCGGAAGCTTCCAACTGCATTAGCAATGCCTGATCAGACGACCGAGCAAGGCACCACCCAGCAAGGCATGACCCAATCTCTACTGGTCATCGTGCTTACCACCCTGCGCCAACGGGATCCCCCTTCTTCAGCGGCACCGAGGACCAAGATGTGGAAGATTGATTGCATCTGTTTGAAAAAGTGAGCGCTGCCAACAAGCGGGATGACCCCTCGAAATTGGAGTATGTCCCATTTTATTTGAAAGAAGTCGCCAGCCTGTGGTTCACAAACCACCGTGCTGAATTTACCACTTGGGCCGCTTTCAAGACCACCCTGGCAGCGGTGTTTGATCGCCCAGCAGAGCGCAAGCTGCGTGCTGAACAGCGCCTACGCGGACGTGCACAAAGGCAGGGCGAAAGCTTCACAAGCTATTTTGAAGATGTTATGCATTTATGCCGGCGCTTTAACGCTGACATGACCGAACAAGACAAAATCAGGCATATCTAGAAAGGCACAGACGATGATGCCTTTCAAATGTTGCTGGCGAAGGGTCCAATTACCGTATACGAACTGGTCACCTTGTGGCAAAGCTTGGAAGAGATTCGCAAACTACGTGCATCAGTTCAAAGGTCGACGACCGCAGAAGACTCTCTCGCTGCCCTGGCCGTCGTTGGTGACAGCACCCTGCTGGAGCAGATAAAAGAATATGTGCGCGAAGAAGTCGCACGACAGCTTTCATGTCTCTTGTATCTACAGACCACCGAAGCATCGACGAACCGCCTAACGCCGGCCATGAAACAGGCTATTCAGGAGCAGGTCTCCGAGGCGTTGCCATTACGTATACGTCTGCCTCTCCACCAACACCTGTTGCCACGCCACTGACTTATGCGGCCGCTGCGGCAATGTTTCCGCCTTGTCTGCCGTTGTATACGCCAAAACCTGTGCGACCGTCCACCGCGCCGTTTCCAGCTACACAGCAGCACGCCGGAAATCCTTGGCGCACTGCTGACAACCGGCCCATATGTTACTTTTGCGGAATTCACTCTTGTGGAATTCCAGGCCACGTTGCACGTCTATGTCGTCGGCGCTTCGCAGTTAACGCACCAAGATACTCTGAATACTCGTTTCGGCCTCTATACCACGCACCGCACGTGCCACCTGAAGTTCACGAACGTGACGCGCAAGCTGCTTCCGGTGCCCGAACCTCCACTTCTTGACGTTCTACTTCCCGCTCGCCTTCCCCTTCAACAAGTCGTCGTTCTGTATCACCTATGCGTCGACGACCCACCTCCATTGAGACGAAAAACTAACTGCCGCAGCTCCGGAGGCACGAGCTGCGTCGTCGTCTAATCGCTTAAGTCCTTGCCTGTCTCCCACCAACCTTATCGATGTAATCATTGAAGGTGTATGAACACTTGCATTTATTGATACCGGTGCCAAGATATTTGTGATAAGTCGAAGAATCTGCCGCTCCCTTCGTAAAATGACGATGCTTTCTCCCGTGTTTCTCTTAGTGCACTGCGAGCGCCCAACAAATTGAGCCCGTCGCAGCATGTACAGCAAAAGTGGTGATTCGAGACGTGTTGTACTTCATTGAATTTCACGTGTTGGCTTCATGTTCCCACGATGTCATTCTAGAATGGGATTTCTTATCACGTAATCACGCCGTCATGGACTGTGCTCGCGCCGAAGTGGAGCTGTTATCGTTTCGTGATGCGCCTTCTGTTGATGCGGCCGTATCTAGTGTGGCTAACCTTGTCGTCGCGACCTTCCTCTTTTCAGCGCCCATTTTGTCCCCGCCTACTGTGTTTCACTTTCTGACGCTACGGTCCTATTCACGCCATCTGACATTTTCGGCAGCCGCCGCCACACATCGCTACCATTCGCCGTTCTTGCGCTTTGTCAAGACACTACCTAAAGAATTTTTTCCAATCCCAACTCGTGCCCCCTCAGTTTGCGCCGCAACGAGACGCTGGGCCACATTCAGCCTATCTATCAAGGTACTATCGTGCCTGCCGATTTCTTTGACACCAAGCCGAATATGGAGCTGAACGCGTTGATTCCTCACGTTGCCTCGAACAGCGTGTCTTCCGATGCATTTCACCGTTCTGTTGACCGCCATCTCGCCCCGGCTCAACGGGAGCAGCTTGTTACCCTGTTGCACGAATTGAGGCGTTCGTTTGACTTTCCCAAAGCGGTGCTAGGAAGAACGAACACAGTTGTTCACGCAATGAACACGGAGAAGAGTACTCCTTTGTGCCAGCGCTTTTATTGCGTGTCGCCGGCGGAGCGTCGCGTAATTGCAGAACAAGTAGACGACATGCTACAGCGTGGAGTCATCAAGCCTTCTTGTAGTCCTTGGTATTCCCCAGTTTTACTCGTCAAAAAAAAAAGGATGGTTCTATCCCGTTCTGCGTAAACAACTGGCGCCTAAACAACATTACGAAGATGTTTACCCGCTTCCCCGCATTGACGGCACTCTCGATTGTCTTTAAGGTGCAAATTCCTTTCCTCGCCTGACCTCCACTCAGGTTATTGGAAGGTCCCAATGGCGGAGTCTGATCGTCCGAAAACAGCGTTGGTCACAGCGGATGGCCTCTATGAATTTACCGTAATGCCATTCGGGCTCTGCAATGCGCCCGTTACATTCGAGCGAATGATGGACAGCATTTTACGCGGTCTCAAATGGAACATATGCTTGTGCTATCTTGACGACGTTGTGGTATTTTCACCCAATTTCACTTCGCATCTCACTCGTCTGCGTAAGATTCTAC